TCAGGATTACTCCTGCCTTTAGCTCATCCTTTCTCCTTCTGATCCTCTTTTACTGAAAATATAGCCAAAGCCCATCTTGGCTTCTTTGCATCCTCAAACTCACTAAAGAAAAGAGTCAGAATCCAAGATGATCCTGTACTACATTCTGTGAGTCTCCATCTAGGTTTCCCCCTCAACCTTCTTTGGGAATTGCCTTGGCTGAGCAGGGTTGCCTGACCTGGAGCAGCCCACACCCACTGACTGGGCACCCAGTGGTGCATAGACCTGGCCTTCCCACCCCAATGTGGGACACTCAGAAGAGTCCTCATTCCCTGTAGGGGCCACTGAGGCCTCTGTTGCAACTGCGTCATGGCCCATTTTTCCCTTTGCCCAGTCCTGCCTCTTTCTCTTCCCCAGAGGGGCTGGTACCAAGAGCACTCCCTAAAACACTTTCTGCATGGTCACCTCTGTCTCAGAGTCTGCTTCCTCAGGAGCCAAACCTGTGGCAGTTTCTGAAGAGATGAAACATGTGATAAAGAAATTCAGCAGGATAGGGATAGAATAGGACTGGCCTCATAGGATCGTTCTGAGGATTAAATGGATTCATATGTGGTGAAATACCAAAGAGGACCAGTTATGTGAAAATCTTATATAAGTTTCTTGCAGCTCTGATTTCATTATAATGACAGTCTTATACCTTATTATTCTTCATGATGTTTGTATCAAAAATCCAACTGTAGAAGACCCTGAAAGAGAACTGTGGCTTAAGAGCAATTTTAGTGTTTTTTCAGCAGCCTGCAAGCTCACTGTGAGTGTATAGAATGAGAAGCTTCTGGAAAAATCAGAACTTAAGCTAAAAGTCCATTGAGAGAAGTGTAGTTTCATAACAGAAGAAACGGCATCCTTTCTGGGCTGGTCAGCCTGCACCTGCTATATTGGGTGTAGCTGGGAGCATCTCACTGTATAGATGAGAAATTAGAGGAGAATGACCAAGTTGGGATGGAGAAGATGTCTTTAACTCTTGGAGTAGGCTTCGCTGTCAACTCACTGTGTCATCTGTCTGGCAAGTTCAACCCCCCGCTGGTTGTCACCACCTACTGAAAGCCTTCCTTGACTATACCATCACTTAAATATTTGAACAGCTTCTTCCTCCTTTTTCTTCTAGACCACAGGTACATTTTTTTTATCATTGTGCCTATTGCACTGCCCATGTTTGGATGTGAGTCTGATTCATTTTTTCGTATCTTGGGACAGATGAGATGTTCAGTGCTGCTTCCAGCTGGGTCTCCTCTGGGTCCCTCTGCAACATAGCTGACACATACTCTGCAAGAGACAGGCAAACTGATGCTTAGCCCTGGTTCTTCCCTCTACTAGCCTGGTCACCTGGAACTAAATCCTCTCCACTCTAAAGCCCCATTTCCTCATCTGTAGCATGGAGCTGAGAAGAATGCCTGCCCATTTACTACTGAGGGTTGCTGCAAACATGAAATAAAAAGAGAGTTTGAGTTCAGTTCTCTTCTTTAAAAGGCCAAAGCTGAGTATCTAGAAGGGTCAGAGGTAGCTCCCAGGCTTTTGGGTTCTTGAGGCACCTAGGAAGAAGTTGAGAAATTCCCAGACTGTGTCTCATCCTCCTAGAAGTGGCTTTGTTAAAGCCATGTAGGCAAATGCTACATGGGCTGTCAGAGCACAGAAATGATACATATAACCTCTCACTAAGAAAAAGATCTGTGTCTGATGGAGAATAACCAATTAGAAAGACCCAGAAAATAGTTCCGTGTTTACTATCTGGAACTTAGTACAGAAGTCAGAGTGCAGATGGAAATTTGAGGGCTCCTTCTCAGTGAAGGGGGTAGGTCAGAATTCCCCTGGTATCAGAAAGATTCAAAGGACTCTATCCGATTAACTACATGGCTCACTATTGTGTATGAGCCCATATTCACAGGCCATTTATGTATTTGTTATCTAGGTATCTATTCATTATCTTACAAACATTCCTGCAAGCATGCAGGGTCAGTTACGCAGTGTCCTGGGAGAGAAAAAGATGCCCAGGATACAACCTACCCTTGCAAGACTCCAATACAAGGAGACATGGACATGGACATGCATAACGAATGTATATGCAAGGCATTTGACAAAATAAGATTGATTAGTTGAGTATGGTCTGGCTCCCTAAATACACTAAAAATTCCAGGAGGCAGCCTTCATCTGTTCTTTAATTACTATACCCTATTGCCTAATGCATTGCCTGGCATGGAAAAAACCCAACAACTGTTTCTCGAGTAAATGAATGATTAGACTCACAAACAAAATGAATTACAATAGAAAAGTATACAAAAGTACCAGAGGGACTCAAAGTGGAAGCAGTAGGAAAGAATTCATAGGGATGTAATATTTGAACTTGACCTTGAAGAATGAGGCCGGGCGCAGGTGGCTCAAGCCTGTAATCCCAGCACTTTGGGAGTCCGAGGCGGGTGGATCACAAGGTCAAGAGATCGAGACCATCCTGGTCAACATGGTGAAACCCCGTCTCTACTAAAAATACAAAAAATTAGCTGGGCATGGTGGCACACGCCTGTAGTCCCAGCTACTCGGGAGGCTGAGGCAGGAGAATTGCTTGAACCCAGGAGGCGGAGGTTGCTGTGAGTCGAGATCGCGCCATTGCACTCCAGCCTGGGTAACAAGAGCGAAACTCCATCTCAAAAAAAAAAAAAAAGAGTAATTAGGTCAATGATGGGAGCATTTAAAAAAAAGTCTGGCCAGAGGTCACAGTGTGGGGTGACCTGGCAGAGAGAAAAGGTAGCAGGAAATAAAGGAGCAACAGAAATGGGATTCAGGGCCACTGGGGCAGGAATCTTAGCGATCATGGTTAAGACTTCGGGTTTTATCTTGCAGTAATAGGGAACTGATGAAGATTTTCAAGGTGGTGACTTGATAATATTCTGCTATTAATAACCAGAAAGGTTGTTCTTGCTGCAGTCTGGTGTATGGATTGGAGCCCAGGAGGCCAGGAAAGCAGTTAGTGGTAGATGCTGGAGGCCAGCCTAGAGATACTAAAAGCAGAAGTTAGGCTGAATATATTAGCTGGCTCATGTGACAGGAGACAGAGTCAGGAGGCATGTGCAAAATCTGACTGTTCAAATATGGTATCAGATTAGGATGACGGTAATGACAGAGGGGAAGGAATGGGAAGACTCAAGGTTAGCACCCAGGCTACTGCTTTGGAAGCCATGTGAGCAATAGAGCCTCTCACTAGGATAAAGGCCTATGTCTGCTGGGGAATAACCAATTAGAAAGACCCAGAAAATAGTTCAGCATTCATGTCTGGAACTTAGTAGAGAAGTCAGAGTACAGATGGAAATTTGTGAATTTAGCTGTATTTGGATAAGGAAAAAAGAACTATGAATTATGGAATATGTGAAATAGTGCAGTAGTGAAATTTTAAAATTAAAAATGGAAAAATTAAATTAATTTTAATTAATAAATAATGAAATAAGCCATCATCTTTCTAGATGGTGAATTTATATAGTGACAAGATAAACCCAAACAACTCACAGATTTTTAAATTTATTATGCTCTATTCTATGGGCTACAGGCAGAATCCCTGTAGATGAAGAGAGAACCTCCAGCCCTCATGAAGTATTTCCTGGACTTCTTTAGTTTTGTGTGTACATGCATGTGTGTCCACGGAGCTCTTTGGTGGGTCAGGCATTGACCCATAATATTGAATTAATATATTCAGCCTTACTTCTGCTTTCAGCATCTCTAGGCTGGCCTCCAGTATCTACCCCTAACTGCTTCCCTAGCCTTCTGGGCTCCAATCCACACACCAAACTGCAGCGAGAACAACATTTCTAGTTATTAACAGCAGTGTATTATTAAGTCACCTTCTTGAATTTTGCAGGATGCTAAGCCCTGCAAATCCTGCTGTGGTGGAGATGGAAGTTCAACAGTCAGATGTGAACACAAGTTACCAGCTAAAACAAAAGTAGAATTAAAATTCAGGCAAGTGCTGTGAAGGAGCGAGTCTGAGAGGTCGAGGAGGATTCTCTGAGGAAGTAGCACTTGAGCTGAGTTCAGAAGTAAGGGCTGCAGTTAATGAGAAGAAGGAAGACAAGGGCATCCGAGAAACAGCGAATGGTACCTGAAAGAGCCACATGGGTGGGAGCAGAGAAAGTCCAAGGACCAGGGAGAGGCAAATTTGCCCCAAGTGGAATTGTTAGGACAAGGAGGGTAACCAAGCTAAGGAGGCAGTTGTCAGGAGCATTTGAGGAGGAAAAAATCACCAGTCAGTGTTTGATAGAGCTCATGGAATGGCTGCAGAAGAAAAGAAAGTGTGAAACATGGCTGATTAAATGAACTAGGAATGTGTAACAAAGATGGTTTATGATAGTGAATATATTTAATGAATGTTAGCAAATTAACTCAATGAAAAACAATTTAATCTTTTCATAGAAAGTGCCTTAGCAAAGTGCCTAAATGATAGGGGAGCTCAATAAATATTATTTGAATCAGAGTTGTAAATAGTCTGTCTTCCCACGTTGGATAATGTTTACTAGATTTTTATCAAATTCAACAAACATAGGAAAGCATCTGAGACATTGCCTGGCTCAAAGTTGCTGTTCCTCAAATTTCTTAATAGCCTCTCATCAACCATGTGGCAAAAGTATGATGTTTTACAGAGGAGACAGATACTGGCAGAGCTTAAGGAAGATACTAAGGTCACCTTGCTGATGAGAGAGAGGCAGCCCACATTCTTGTCTTGACTGGGCACTTATTCTGCCCCACACTACCATTTTCTGTAAAATAAAGCTCTTACTTTTAAAAATTAGGTAATTGAATTACTTTAAACATAGATTTTCTTTAACCTCAATGGTAATGCAAAGAAAGATTCAGAGTTACGTGTGAGACGTAATTACTTAAATCTGACTGGGTGGTTGCTTCTATGAATGAATGCACTTAATTAATTTTTTCCCTAGCTTCTTGCTTTTTTCCCAGCTATAATTTATTTTCTTTCATCCCAGGGGCAATAGAAGGACAACTAAAGAAGTATCCAATGATTTGAAATTCCAGAACTTCAGTCTGCCGAAAAACAGGTCAGAATATTTACTTGTTTATTAATAGAGGAGTGAAAAAAAAAAATTTAGTTCTGTAGCAAGTAAGCCGAGCATCACACACACGGAAATTGTCATGGAGTGACCGACAGTGACTTAGAGTCAGATAGAGACCAAGGTGCAGGAGAAGGGACTTGGCGGGGTTGGAGGAGCCAGTTGGTGTGTGTGATACAAACCTATGCTGAGAAGCCCCCACCTCCACAGCTTTGCAGGCCAGACCTCTTTCCGCCGACCCCTCCCAGGCTCTGAATAACCCCAGAGAGAGCCAGTGATGGGGAGGCTTCTGTTCCTCTGCCAGTGAATGATTTGAATCATGAATCATGGATCAGGCCACAAGTTTGCCTTGGAGTCTCACAGCAAGCAGACAAGAGAGAGCCAAGTGCTTACATTGTTATCTGCTTTGTCCTTCGATTGAGAAAAACGTTTACTGAGCAGTTATACCATCAAAACTTGCACAGTCTACTGAAAATGCAGAGACAAAACACAGTCTTTCCCTCAAAGGCCCTGCAGACTAGTCAAAAAGCTCAGAATCGAGTGCTAACTTGATGAAATTACTGACAAGAGACAAAACCTAAAGTCAAATCCAGCTCTGCGCTGCCCAGCGCTGTCCAGCACGCTAAATCTGGGCCAATTCCTCATGTGCAGAACTGTTCTCAGTCCTGCCTCATGTGCAGGCAGGACTCCCTGGTTAAGCCTTCCTGGGGTGGCTTCTATTCCTAGAGGTACCCAAGGGTCTTCACAAGCTATATTAATCCTCAAATCCCAATTCAAGTCCACCCATCAAACATCCTTCAATCCCCTCTACTATGTACCAGACACTAGAAGCAGTCTTGGAATCCTAAAATGTGCTGGAATAAATAGTTCCCCTAAGCAGACTGAATGAATCCAGTAAGATGATAGAATAAGAATACTTAAGGTGTTTTTCAAAATCACTTTGAGATGAGGGAAATTTGTGGATGTTCTCAGATTTCTTTAATGTTTACATTAAATACATTTGAATGATGCATTTTAAGTCCGTTTTCCTTATTTCTTGACAATAGCAAGAGATGGAAGATGGAAGGTTTCGAAGCCTTCCTTCAAATGGAGAGGGTTGAAGCAATTACATACATCAAAGTAATATTTACAGTTACATTTGGAGGGGAAAAAAAGACAGAGAGAGAAGAGCAGTGCTTTTTTCTGAAGCAAATTATTTCAGAATGTGTCATAGCACGCTGAAGATATATTAAAAAGAGCAACAGATGATGTTTTTGCAACCTGTTCCAAACTACTTATAAACCTAAAATTTTTAAAAATCTGTAGACATACAAATCTCTACACCACTGCACATTTTATAATGAATGTATTATATGAATATACACTACTATTTGAGATACGTAAATCAACTAAAACTGTCTGAAAACTACAAATTTGTGTCTACCATCTTCCTGTAACTATTAACCAATATATTTACTCCTGTAAAAATTTTAATTATCCACATTTGATGATAAGGCAAGGAAGAAGCTACTTGTGGGCAGCATTGCAGTGTAGAATGAGTCCATTGGATCGGATTTCAGCTGACCTGCTTATTAGCTGTGTGGACCCAGACAAGCCTCTTTTCATCCCAACACCTCCTGTGTTTTAGAAATGGTATTTGAAAAAGTAGACTCTCTTGTTCGCTATTAAATCTCTTGAACCTTCCTGTATTCACAAAAGAAATGGATGACCCATGAGGTTTGCTAGGAATAGAGTAGGTTCTCATTAAATCATGTGGACTAAGAGTCACTGAGTGCTCACTATGTGCTAGGTGCTGTTGTAAGAGCTAATAGGCAACTCACACTGGATCCCAACAATTACGCACTTGTTAGTCTCCTTTTTACAGGAAAGAAGAATGCAGCCCAGAGAGGGTGAATAACTTCCCTCAAGGCTCCATGGCTAGTTGTTTCATGGCAAATGGCTGCTGTAATGATGATTATTAATATCGACAACTCTACTGCTCCCCACCACTGCCCTCATGCTAGGTTGAATGTGGGAATTAACTCTCCTGAAAGCTCAAGAGGGCTGCTTCCCCCACAGCCCAGCCACCCCAAGCTCAAAAGTGCATTGATCACCTGGTAATAAACAAAATAAAACACCAAGCTGAGTGCTGGGCCCCACTTGGATGATACGGCCCGGGAGAATCTCCAAGAAAAATGCAGATTGCATCCACATTCATTATCTATGAACTGTCTGCACTATTGAGATGAATGTGTTTCATAACATCTCATGAAAATTATCTCATTAAATCCCCAGTACCCACTTTTATTTTGTACTGTTTCCTCGTGTATATCGTGAAAGAAAACACCAATTGATGTTTCCCAATTAAATCCAAATTCCACTCAATAACTGAGCACTCGATATGCACCAGAACTTTGGCATTTAATCTTCACCGTAATGCTCCGAAGTAGGCATTTGTATTCCCATTTACAGATAGAGAAAAATAGTCTAAAGAGGGTTACATGTTTTTGTCACAGTCCCAGTAGAAATTGGTACCAGTTGGGTTTGAATGCAGAGTCTAGCTTCAAGTCAAGGGCATTTCTGGGTTCCAAGTAATCAAAACTTCCTTATATGTCAGCATATCCAAATGAATGCAGGTTTTGATTCTCACGAGTCACTAATCTACTCATGTCAAGTCTCCCCACCATGAGGAACGAGCATGTGCCCAGCCCCTGGGAAGCTCAGCCACATCTATCGCAGGGAGGCCTGGTAGCTGCGGTTCCTAGAGCATGGGCCTGGGACCAGCAGCTTCGGCATCATCTGGGAACTTAGCAGTGCAGATTCCCAGACTCTGGCCTGTTACACCACTTCTGCTGCAGCCGGGTTGAAATAAGCCCTCCCCGTGGGTTCCAATGTTTGCTCAAGTTAGAGAACCTCAGATGGAGGCCTGGTTACCAGGAGTACAAACTTCCAGGTTGGAGTGAGAGGCCCCTGGGCTGGAATTTTGCTCTGCCCCTACTTGCTGAGTGACAGTGAGTGGGGTGGAGGAAGGAAGATGGAAGGTAGAGGATGGCGGGGAGATGGGAGAAGTGGTGGGTGCAGGAGCTGTTTTTCCCACTGGGAAAATGTCTGACCCGTCCCATTAACCTCCTTAAGTTCTCTTTGTTGGGCACTGGAAAAATCAAAGATGACCGAGACATAGTTCCTGACACCCACATGCTCAGTGTCTGGTGGGAAGCAGAAGAGTGGGTGTGGAACTATCAGATACATACATAACAGATCGTAAGCCTGTGCCATGCACGTGGCAGACATACACACAGGACCAGGGAACAGGAGGGACACAGGATCAACCAGCGAGCCGAAGGGCTTGCCAAGTCCTCACTCTAGTGAGCAGCGGCACCAAGGTTCCAATCCGCATCTTCTTGCCAAGCTCTAGTCTCCTTTCCATCCCCTGCCCGCGACAGCACTGCTGGAAACAGTGTCACCACACTATCCACATTCAGCCCCTTCCCATTCGTCACCTCATTGGCTATGGACTTCTTCCTTTCTCCCATAGCACTAGCAGCAATAGTTAGATCCAGGGGGACAAAGTGCAGGCAGCTGTAATCTCTCAGGGCCTGTGAGGCCCAGGTGTCATCCTTTGGAGACTGGAGTCTTTTGTTTTTTTTTTTGTTTTTTCCGAGACTGAGTTTCACTCTATCCCCCAGGCTGGAGTGCAGTGGTGCTATCTCAGCTCACTGCAACCTCCGCTTCCCAGGTTCAAGCAATTCTCATGCCTCAGCCTCCTGAGTAGCTGGGATTACAGGCACCCACCACCATGCCTGGCTAACTTTTGTACTGTTTTTAGTAGAAATGGGATTTCACCATGTTAGCCAGGCTGGTGTCAAACTCCTGACCTCAGGTGACCGCCTCTCTTCGGCCTCCCAAAGTGCTGGGATTACAGGTGCGAGCCACCACCCTGGGTCTGGAGTTCACTTCTATTCTGTGCACTAGGGGGACCCTCTAGTGGGCCCCTTCAGCCAGACAAGACCAGGAGCTGGTTGACCACCACCTCCGCCTGCTCTCCTGGTCTGGCCCTCCTGCCCTGAACCTCTGTAGCACTGAGACTGCCATAAGGGTCACTCTTCTCACCGTGGGCCACCTCCCTGTCAGAAGGCATAGTGCCATCCAGAAAGATCTCACAAGCAGAGAGCTTTACTACAGGTTCTCGGTTCTTTCCGAGAGGACACAGGGAATAGAACACGGTGCTCCACAGGCTTTCCAGGAGTTGCCCCCAAAGGGCTCCTACAGAGTAGATGCTCAGGCCAGGCACTGTGGCACACGCCTGTAATCCCAGCATTTTGGGAGACCTAGACGGGTGGATCATTTGAGGTCAGGAGTTCCAGACCAGCCTGGCCAACATGGTGAAACCCGGTCTCTACTAAAAATACAAAAATTAGCCAGGTGTGGTGGCAGGCACCAGTAATTCAAGCTACTAGGGAGGCTGAAGCAGGAGAATCCCTTGAACCCAGGAAGTGGATGTTGCAGTGAGCTGAGATTGTGCCACTGCACTCCAGCCTGAGCAACAGAGTGAGACACTGCCTCAAAAAAAACTAACAAACAAAAAATAAAAAACAGAGTAGATGCTCAAGAAACACTGGCTGATGGGAAAGGAGGAAGAAGGGAGAATCAAGGCAGAACCCTGGGTTCTTATGTTGCGAATACCCTAGGACGGTGTTGACCTGTAGTATACCAAGAGCCTCCTATGGTGCCTGGCACTTACTAGATACTTAAATAGATGTGAAAAAGCAACTTTAATAGGGAGAGAAGGATGGAGAAAAGAGGAAGTGAGGGAAATGGGGGAGGCTCAGAGAGGAGATGAAAGGATTTCAGGAATTGTCCTGCCCATTGGAGGGATGTCTGAGCTAAAACAAGTCCAGCAAATTGTCCTGCTACTCTGCTTGTCTGCCGCAGAACCCACCAGAATGTCAAATCTTTTTGTTTTCATTGTTTAATATTCGCTGGGAGCATTGATAGCTGATAGAAACAGG